GTTCATGTTTTTCCGGTTTTTTTTTTTGAAAAACTGGACATGTCGCAACCATATCACTATAACAACACAGAACAATAAGTTCTGGGTGCTACGCAATCCTTTCTTTGCCAGTTGTCTTTACAGAAGTCAGGAAAACCAGCCGTCGAAAACGGCTCACGCTTCACCACGACTATGCGAGCTCTCACACATCGACTGAAACAACTGCATTTTTGCGCACTCAAAACATCGATTTGATGAGTCATCCACCTTGACTTGGCACTGAGTCTTTTTATTTCCGTAATTGGTTCAAACGCATGCTTAAGTGTATAGATCTTAATGTAAAATATTTTGAAAAACAATAAAGCGATTTTCGATTATTAATATTTGATTTGCCTTAAAAAATAAATCATGCCAAATTTCGTGAAGATACCTCGTCAAATAAAAAAGTTTCCCATACAAGTAGTTGATTCCGATTGTTCAGTTTGTATGACAGCTATATGCAATAGTGGTCCGATATCGGCCGTTCCAACAGCTTCTTAGTGAAAAAAAACAGGTGCAAAATCTCAAATCGATAGCATAAAAACTGAGGGACTAGTTTTTATATATACAGACAGACGGACAGACAGACGGACATGACTAACTCAACTCAACTCATTATGCTGGTCATTTATGTATATATTTTATAGGGTCTCTGACGTTTCCTTCTGGGTGTTACAAACTTCGTAGCAAACTTAATATACCCAAGTGTTTTTCAGTGCTTAACCTTTCAGAAGTTTGTCAAACGGTTTTGGCTACACATATTGTTATTTAAGTAAAAATTTGTGTGAGTAGTAAGTAAAATATTGATATTTTGGTTTAAAAGAAAGTATGCTATTTACATACAGGTTTCCCACCTATGAAATGGCCCCAATATCGTTCATCAAACGAGTATCGGTCATTATATTTTTATTTCATGTTCAATTAGCAATAACAAAGGGAAATTGTAAACTATCATTACTTTGTTATTGCCCCTAAATCACTTTCTTCATAATGTGCTTCGTCTATTTCTGGCAGCCGTATTTTATCTGTGATGTATGGTACGTATTTTTATTATAGAATACCCCCATTTTTTATAGTAAAGAAATGGTTTTCTTTCTTCTGCTGATAAAAAAGGTGACTCCATGTGTAGGTGGATACTTCAAAAAAGTTTTTTAAACCACTTGCTATTATCTATTATTCTATCTACATTTGATTATGCGCATATACATTTAATTTATACCAGTTGTTCGTTCGATTCACCACACGCCAAGTTTTGTCGAATTTAATAGTACTAATACAGTCAGAAATATTTTTAGAAGCTTACATTAATTGTTTGTTCTATTGACAGCTGCAGCACGACTGATAATGCTTTAAAGCAAAATAGCTGTTTAATGAGGCGACTTCTAGCCCCAAAAAAAATTAGTTATGAATGGTTTTTCATATACGATATGCAATAATAAACTCACACATATGCGTTTGTATTTAATGTTTCTTTTCAAATTTTCAAGCACTTCGAATGAATAAGCAAAATTTTCTAATTAATCGGTCCACATATACGCATATAAATTGTTACAATTTTGTAAACAACTTTCAGTTGACCTTCAAAATTGACAATACGAGTCGAGTAGTAAAGTAATTTGGCGAAAGGCCAACGGCTTTTTGGATTAAAAAATATTTGAAAAGATTTTTTTAAATGTATTTTACTGTCGATATAAAACAGAAAATGCTACCATAAATCATAACAGAAACCTGAAAAACAAATTTTTTTGCAAATTATTGAGTTTGCGGACCCACCCAAAACTTTAAAGCTCATTGGTTAAAAATCTAATTTAATTGTTACGCTGATTTAAGCACTTACACCTTACTATCATTAAAACACGGTACTGTTATGGATTTGGATTTCTATGTTAACTGTTATTTCGAGGCATGAAATTGTTTTGGGTGCTGCTAGTAATTGAAATTTGAAGCAAAGGAAAAAATAATAATTGAAATGCTTTTGTACACTGTTAAATTAAAAAATTGGCTTAAAACATATACCATACTACCATATATGTATGTGTACATAGGTATACGATTCTTTTCACCCAAAAATCAATCTTGAAAGGTGTGACCAATTGCGATTAGCTTGCAAAATAATAAATTCAAGTATTTTGCTATTACTTATCCATGAGGCCGCAGCAAGTGAAATAATTATGCAATTTAGCGATTGTCAATCAACAAAGTAATGGTGGCTATTAGCCAACTATTGCTCTTATGTGTTATATGTACAAGTATGTGGGCATAAGTATATAGATGAAGCGAATCGGTTGATGACAAATTTTTGCAAAACTTTTTTACCCGTTGCATAATTGCTGCGCTTATTTTTCTTACTTCGCTCTGGTTGCATACTTTTCCTCATGAATTTACAACTTTTTATAAAATCATATTTACATATACCTATTTAAAGATATTACATATATATGTACATATATATGTATACATATGCCTGATGATGTCATTGAAATGCAGTTAAAATATTTTACTAGAGTCAGATTTTCTTGCATTTTAAGTGAGTGGATTAGTGTATGACAGTGCTGGGCAGGTAAATAAGACACTTTGTCTAAATATTAAAATCTTTAAATATTTCAGTTATTAGCTTTAGTGTATATTTAAAAAATGCAGAAGAATATAATTTTTTTTTTTTATTCCAAATAAAACTCTTCTGAATATATTATTCTTAATTTTTAGAAGCCTTAATTTGAGTTAATTTTCAGCGCATATCCAAAAACAAAGAATTTAAATCAAAATGCAATCCCGTTTTTTATGTTTCATTACAGCACCCCACATGTCACGGAATTTAAAATATATACATTAAGGGTGGGTCATAAAAAGGAATTTTTTTTTTCGCTTGGTTTGATTGGTCTGGTTTTGTAGAGCAGTCAATATTCTACAAAACTATGACTTTGCCGATTTATAATGATTTTATTTTCATTGCGTTATAAACAAACTTCAACCGTAAGTGACCATTTTGTAGATACTAAAATCACACCTTACTGAAATCACATGCGAGCCAGTTGGGCCTTAGTAGTGATGACACATGCAGGAAGCGCAGGGAAGGAAGCATGAGCAAGACGCTGGAACACCTCCTCTACTTCTGTCAGGCCTAATATAGAATTAAACTTAGATATCTGGGAGCGTCGCAGTTCAAAAGACTAAATGTTCTAATTTAATCAAAATTATATTCTGTATTATAGCTATTAAAAGTATGGAGTTTCTCATATGAAAAATTCATGTTCCTACGATGTCAGTACAAAGAAAAATATTATTGCACCATATTGATAGATCTACCTTCGTACAGTTGTAATGCGGTACTCAAAGATTTCTTTTTGTACCCTCTTTAACAGTTTTCTGCTAGAAGTAACAATTGAAGCATCCACAGTTCATGTTTGAGAGTTATCTATATTTGGCTGAACAATATGCTTTCCAAGTTAGTTCTATATTATAACCTGTACAAAAATCTATTAATAACCATAAAGAATTTTTTGAAAAACAACTACAATAGAATAGAAACATAGAATGACATTCCTTTATACACATAAGATATATTATTGTATATATACCATACTTTCAGAGCCCGCCTTCTTATGGTATACATATTTTCAACGCTACCTCTTAATTAATACTTTTGGTTAATTGCTTTGGCTTATCTCTTTCGACTCCAATTATTAACCTCATTAGCCTATTCTAACTTGATAATGTCACCCAAAAATGTGGAATCTTGAGCTGAGAACAAGATATTTCTAGTAGTTTTTCATATTGGGTAAGAAAATAACATTAATTTGAGCCAAGTGTAGATCCATTTTTCAAGATCAGTTTTTAGATCGAGCCTTTCAAGAGGAGCTCTCCCTTAAGGTATGGTTTGTAAGCGTTATAAGGAATTTGAATTTGATGAAAGTACATAATTGGTAGAGACACGATATTATATCTGACGAAGGACTGTTGCTACAACAGTATTTGTCGAAAGGATTTAAATTGGTTTTATTGCCTTAACCACAAATAAAAAAATAGAACCAGTGCGGTATTTTAAGCTTACTAATTTGTGCGGTGTTCTGTGTTGAGATTAACGTTTAATTTTATATTTTTGAAATCGAAGAAGGAAATTATATTCACGAGAACATAACATAACATTTTTAAAGGAACATATGAGCAATCTGTTGAGTTCCATATACGTAATATCACTGTTTGACCGGGAAATTTATGAAAAATTGTGGTTAATTAAAAAAATTAATTTACAGGATATTTGAAAATTTTTACATAGCACACCATACACAACATAATTATGTCATAAAAAAGACACTTGAGCTAATTTAATTTATCTATTCACGTTAGTTGCGCTCGAAATGACTTATAAATGGATTTCAGTCGTTAATAGCATTAGCGGCAGCGATAAAAATATCTATAATCTGTTTTATGCAGATATGCAATAACTGTGCTATAAACCATAAATAATGCGCGCAACAATTTCGAACGAAGACGAGATCATAAAATTGGTAAAACACCCACTGGGCATAACGAGCATGTAGCAGTCGGTCCATCAAATGACAATAAGCTGAGCTGTAAGCCTTTTGCACTGTCACGCACACGCCCATAACTGGCTGTAAAATCAGCTATGGTTGCCACACGATATGCAATGTGGTTTGAAATGAAAAATAAATAACAACAACAATAATAGTAACAATAAAAGATAAAAAAAATAAAAATGATAAATGTAAGAAAAATAAAAGATAAAAAAAATAAAAAACAAAAAATATAAAAAATAAAACGAAAATCAATAATAGTAACACTAAAAAAAAAAAAAAATAGAAAAAAATTGTGATCACTAGCAGATAAATACAACAAACACAATCAAAACATTTTTTTTTAAATAAAATTTCATTGTTGTTGTTGTGCGCTCAACGGCCTAACAATGTTGCAAAATCACTTCGTTTATAGTAACAAGTAAAGCAATAACGAAAACAACTTACCACAAAATGTTGCACTTGCATATTTGCACGCGCCAAGTATAACTCCAAATCCGCTGTTGGTTATTTACAATTATTTGTTGTTGTTGTTTGCGGTTTGCAATGTGCTTGACAAGTTTTTGTTTTGTTTTAATTATTAAACTTTTATTCGTCTTCAAAGTAAGCACTTCCGGTTCTAATGCGCAGGCGCACACCAACACAAGTAATTGGCAACACACCACCACCACACACACACACGCAAAGTGAAATAAAATTTATAGCGCTTTTATATTATCACTTGATTTGTCTTTCACTTCTTTCGTTTGCTCAAATGTTCAACAGTTTCTTTGTGGCTGTGCGTTTACTTTCGGGCTCGTGGTGTTGATAACCGTTTCGTTGAAACTCGCTTGTCAAATGCTTTATGCCGCACGCTTCCATTTCGTTTTTATACCGAACGCTTATGGCTTGTGGCGCCGCAGCAAAAACAACAATTGTAACGGCTGTAATGCAGCGCGGAAGGAGAAACAATCAAATCAGCAGCTGTTTTCTGCGCACAAACACACAAACAAGCATATATGTATATATAAATTGTTGCTTGGAAGTGAGCTTTTTGTACGCCTTTGACTGGAAAATTGTCTAAAAGCTCCGCTTTGATGCGTGTAAAAGTGTGCAGAAAGTGCATTGCGGGCTTCCGGCGGAAATGCGCCATCAATTTTTGGAACACAATAACACAATAATTTTAATAAAAATATTTGGAAAAAAATATTGTTAAAAATTGTTTAAAGCACTTTTCAAAGCTTGTAATAATAGCGCCAAATGATAAATACAGTTTATTGAACTATAACATCATCGCCTGCTCGCATTACAATTTCCTTAAGCATACGCACGTCTGCCGAATGTGTCACATCACGCAATTGTACAGTTAATTGCAGTGTAGCATTTGTTTTCGTCAATGAGCAATAAATTTCAGTTGTGCTTTGCATACGCAAATCAACTGCTGTGTCTGTATGTATATAGGCAACTGTTTGGTTGTTGTTTTTGTATGCTAAAAATATTTTATTTGCCACTTTGAATTCGGTTATATCTTTTATAACCTTTCGCCACTTACAGGCAACACGATAACAATTTTTTTCGCTTCTGCGCATGCGTGACGCCCATGCAACATTGTCTTTAAACAATTAAAATCTGCCAACAACAACTAACTTCCGCACACTTCCAAAGAAAAGTATTTTGTCGTGAACGTAAAAAAAAATTTCAAAGATATTGAAACACTGATTTAAATAGGTCTGATATAGAAATTTAAACCAAAATCTGTATGTATGTTTAAATGACCGAAGCTGTTAAAAACCAAAAAAACTGTACTATACATACGTGATAAACACACATATATCTATGCGTTGTTGCACTAACTTCGAATATAAGTGATTTGGTTTTAAATGAGTTCAGCTCTTCTTCTCTCACTTTTCCCCATATGTGTAACTTCATGAAAACAAAAAAAATCAGTTCATTAAAATTCTTCAATGTACGCGTGTTGCGTAAGCCAGTGACTATTGACATTTCTCACGTAGCGACAATAAATGCAACTCTGTTCATTTCTAGCGGGCGTCGTTAAAGATTAGAGTTTTGTTTAGTCGTTTTTAAACTTTATAAATTATAATTAAATTTTGTATCTTCTTGACTTATATTGAATGCCATTATCTTAGACTCAGTGTTATTGCTACATTTTAGTTCGTGTCAGCTAAAATTATATTAAAAACATCTTCAAATGAGATATCCACATATATGTGTTATCAACTCGACCGAAGAGGCTAAATTTAATTTATTAAGTTGATGTGAGAAACGTCAACCGGAGGATCGGAATTAATTGTATTAGGGATATAAGGCTTAGACCAAGTGCATTCAGTGCTAAACCACATAATTAAAAAAAAAAAAATTGTCCACTAAATTCACTAACATATCATACATTTTAACCAATCTAAACGGTTAAAAGACAGGTGGAAAGACGGAAATCAGTTGATGTGGTATATTGGGGATAGAGACCATGTACTCGAGATCATATTTTGAAGCAATTTTATATATAAATAATACTCACTGAACGACATTATAATAACGACATATTCGGTATGAATCTTGTTAGTATAACAAAAATCATTATAAGTCGTATATGGAAGTTAAGGGTAGTATCGAACCGGTTTTATCTATTTTTGCGGATACCACACACTATTTTATTTAGGTACATCACATACCATCGGCAATCATATGAAGTCCGTATAAGTCAGCCGGATGTTCGAAAATCCTGATATATATTATATGGGGGCTAGGTTAAGTTTTCGTTAAACTTTATACATTTTACGCGTAAGGATATATTGTTATGAGTAAGACACGCCCTCTTGATTTCATAACTCACATATAGGCCGATATAGGTATATGGGATAAAGTCACCCGGAAGTTGAAAATTTTTATATTAGGTATATGGGAGACAAGGTAAGTATTGTCCCAATTCAATCCATGTTTGACATACAGACTTACGATCTGAATTTTAATTAGTATTATATCTGACAGATTGACCGATATGTTCTGTAAATGTTAATACGGTACCTAGGTCCCGGAGCAGTTTTGATTCGATTTGGACAATTTTTGGTCATAAAGTGGCATATTAAAGGCATTATTCGCGCAAAATTTTATCCCGATACATTCATTGGTGCTTGATTTGCATATTTCGCTAACCTCAATACAATGCTAACCATATTGTCCGAAGACACGCGCCAAAATATTGAGTTCCATGAAATACTGCATTGGACCGTCGTTTTGGTCATATTTTAACAAACAAAGCCAAATAATTGTTAAGATTATTTATTTATAATACTATATAATATTATGATACATATTTTTTTTACATTTTAAAACCGTAGCAGTGTGATTCATCGGCATACACTTAATTTAATTGAGCTTAACTAAGCTTTAACATAGTAAATATGTATATGCTATCTGCAAGAAAGTCAAAGCTTTCTTCTTCGGCTTTATGAGTTATTTACTGGCAAGCTTGCAAAATTAGAGCTTTTACCCAATTTCAGTGGTGCTTCTAAAAGATAGAGCTTTACAAAAAAGCTTTATTACTTATTTGGCCGGTTGAAATTTTAACAAAACAAAATTAATTTATAGTAAAAATATATGCATACAAATGTATCTGCTATTTTTTCGTAATTTTAATAATAATTTAATGTTAAAAAATGTATTCAAATATTACTATACATACTATATATAGAGACTATTTATTGTAAGCGAGCAGCAAAAGAACGCTCAACTCAGCTTTTTTCAATTTCACCAAACTTACAGAAAATATAATAGTCAAGTTTGCATTGATGCTCTACTTGCAACCGCTTATTTTAGCGTTTATTCTTCTACTGCTAGCTTACAAAACAATATTTTTATAATAAGAAACATATTTTAGTAGATAGAAAAAATAAAAATCAGCTTCCAATTACATATTTTTTAAGTGCGACTATAGACATTAAAATTATTTTCTAGTAATTAAAATACTAATTTTCTAAACTATTATTTCCCTTATTTACTTTTATCTACATGCGTATAAATTTTATATATCCTTTATTACTTATTTAATCCTTAGAGAAGAAATTTTGTACAATTTTTTTACATTTGCAAAATGCCAAATAGTTACTTTAATCACAGTTTAGACAGCTTCGAAATGTTGGCCAATGCGTTTAATATGTTAATATTACGTATATTTTATGTTGTTACAGCAGAAAATGTTAATAAATTCATTAACATTCTCAGGCCTATGCAATTCAAATGAAGGCATTTGTCAAAACCGCCATTTTCTCAAGTTGCCCCTCTTTTATATGGTACATACTTCTATTTCTAGTGCTCAATGTCCTTCATAAGGAATAACGAAATAGCGCCAATAATTCCGCATACACCCATTATGCTCATTGGTAGCAGTGGGTCCACGTGTTCCTGTAAGGACCAAGGAAAAATTAAGAACAAAATTATATAAAACCAAATTAGTATTAAGAAAAATTTTAAAGTATTATATATTAAGACTTGATACATTTTTTTTTAACTTTGTACTCCTTAAGGGTGATACCATACTGGAAAGAAGAGTGACAGCACTTAGATTTCTAAGTTCAAAACAGTCAAAACGGTAGCTTTTTAACTTTACTTCGTACCGTAATTGTTCCCAATTTTTTAATAGGAAATATTGTACACGAATAGTTTTTCTAATGATAGAACATTAAAAACTGATTATTTAGCCTTAAAAATTGTCAAAATATTATATTTTGATTAAAAACTATAAAGTACGGAAATAATTATATCACAGCGTTATCTAGCGTACAGGTGAAAAATAATATCGAAATCAACAAAATAGTTTGAGAAGTAAGCTATGTAAAGGAAAATTCATGGTAAATTTAAATTAGTGCAGCTTTCATTCGAAAAACTTTAGAGAGTGGCGGATCGAACAGTTAAAGAGTATACATAACATAGCCTGGTATAAACAGGTTGAAGCTAAGTATGTAATTTTTTGCCTAATCACTGAGTCACAGCAACTTGATATATTATAGTATACCAACTGCATTAGAATGCCGGGAACACATTTAACAATTTCCATGAAGATGTCTCTATCCGTCACGTCACGTCATTCTGATCATTTATTTATATACCATATATATATATAATCAATGATAACTCACCAAAAGCCACATATATGGTACTAACATCAAAGCAGTACCGGCTGCCAGATTGCCCATGCCCACTCCAAAGTTCCGCACAACCGTTGGATACTGCATGGCGGTGTATGATGGAATAATGGCATTGTTGGCACCAATAACGCATTTTGCTGAAAGAGATAAATTTTTATGTATATACATATATATTTGAATAATGTTGGAAAATTTGTATAGTTTTTTTTCCGAAACACAACTTACCAATTATTGCCATCGCTACCACCGCCGTTTGGTTATCATCCCCGCTTGGTACAAGATTTGTGGCTAAGCAACAAATTCCGGGCACTAGCATATATGCTATCAGACTACGCCGCAAACCCACTTTCAACACCACAAAAATGCTCACACAAACAGAGACCGCTTCAATTGCGCCGGCGACGATCTGTATTAAAAATATAATTAATAAAATAAAAATTATTTTGATTCTATGAGAAATCAGAAACAAGGCAATGCAATAAATTTTAGGTACTTGCATATAATGTGACTCAAAATATTAATACTTTCACGGATTATTATAGCCTTCTAATGCATATCTATAGGTCATTTAGACCCTTTATGATATTTTACGAAAAAAGATCTAAATTATATATTAAAATATTTTTCAGAAACATTTAATAAAGGAAACCCAAAATAAGCTCACTATTATTTGGAAATATCACTTTTTAATAAACATTTTAACCTAATCTAATGTACACCCGTTGCTTTATCTCAACAGAGGTTAAAGTTATCTGATAAAATTTTTTGCAGAAAATTTCTGCAAGGGTTGACATATCTATGATCATCATTTATGAGACCTTAGTTAGGGGCATAAAATGTAACAAAGTTAGTATTTAGAACCTTTAAGAATGTCCATACAACATGGGATCACTTGACATCTTCTTAGTTTTGTCTACGTATTCTACTATGAAGAAGCATGTCTTGTAATATGTTGGCATACATGTTCCTTGGCATCCAAGGAGCCTTGGTATTGCAGATGTGCTCTGATTCCGCCCACAAATCGCCATTAAACAAAATCAATTAAATAGCTATAACTAAGCTCCACAATAAGCCACAATACTGTTATTTGGTATACAGGATCACATTTGCAAGGGGCATCCGCAGTTTTAATTTTTTTTTTAAGTAGACGTGGTCCTGCCCCTAAATAAGTTTAATGTACATATCTCCTAAACCATTCAAGCTATAACAATCAAATTCTCTCGGAGCAAATCTTTTTGGTATTCCTACCGATCCTTTGAAAATTGGTCAATAAGGATTGTAACCAGGTAACTAGTATTGCGTAAAAGGGTTTAATATAACCCTTATGAGTGATAGAAGGGCTAAACTTTACCGAAAATGTATTAAGTAAAGGCAAGATCAGCAACTAAATTTTTATATATTAGATCGAATAATCAAACTGCACACGATTGAAAACTTAGTTAATTAATTAATAGAATTTCTGGCAGTACGTGTGGTACTTATTCGCAATTCCTTTAACTGTCCTCTTCTAACTCACCGTATTTAAATAGATATCACCACCCAAATTGCTCAAATGTAAGGTCAAACCATAGTAGACGATAATCAAAGTCAACCAGACAATCAAATTCAGACAAGTTGTGCGCCAATAAAAACGATTAAAGACCACCTTTAATGGATTATCATGAATATTGGGTATAGCTTCGGTAGCGCTGGCGATTGTCGTTTCAATGCTGTGAGCACCCCCTTCAGCCACCGTCATAAATGCTGGTAGTGTGTGTTGTTGTTGTGTTTGTATGTTCGTCAGCTGACCTTTGTCCGTAGCTGATCCATTGATGGGCTTTGGTATTGGTGCCGGTGCTGCAGCTTCAAGTGTCTTCTTATAGTTTGGCGGCAGTGTGCGTTGATTGAGCTGGGCAGCACGTTCTACTAGTGCATATAAATCATTGAGACGCCCTTGTGCGAGTAGCCAACGCGGCGACTCTGGCATGCAGTACCTGGCATGCATAGGAAATAAAGAATTGAATGATTAAATGAGGAATAATAGATGTGAGAGTATATTTGTAAGTTAAAAAGCGGTAATCAGTGGAAGGGATAAGGTGAAATAAATGGTAAGGAAACCACTAAATCAGGTGATGTCACACTGCTACTAGAAGTTATCAGCGATGTAACTAAGTCTACGCCACAACAGATACGCTAATTTGATGAAGAAGATCTGCGCAGGAGGCAAGAAAATGTGGGCTTTGCCAAAGCAACTCTTAGTGAGAACAGGTAACAGGTTACACACTAAGTAAGATTATCAAAAGTTAGTCTTCTTATATTACGATCTAACCCTCTTCGATCTCTCATCTTGAGAAGTTGAAGAAAATATGAGAACTTTAGTGTCGCGTTTCTTACGTGAAGTAGAGATCCGGTATCCGCTAAGAGCCAGAGAAAAATTTAAAGACATGAATTTTGTTACACAACATCGAGAGATACAACTACTATAATAGCTCTTCCGCTTGCTTTGGAGATCTCGCTGCAGTCTCTTTGCAGGCTGCAAGAGAGTTTTTACTTATTCGGACCTTCTGCTTACAAGTAATTTAACTCAAGTCGGAACATATAGAAAATGCTGACATCTTAACTTTATTTCTTTATGCTATCGTCGTTACAAAAACAAATATTACTATTAAAACATTAATTTACCAGCGGGTAGAGTTCTCAATGCTTTACTAGGATTTGTACGATTGTGAACGGTTTGCTTGACACCAAACCAGAGACGAGTACAATCAGCACAGAATTAGAGGAGATCTTCGTACTTCGTACACACATGTCCACCGATATTTATAGCAGTTCAACGGAATTTAAAATACCGTAACTTTCAATATGAATAAACAAAGATAATAATAAAGAGAAATGAATGATTAAAAGAGATGACAAATATAAAACTTAGATAAAACAGTATTGCCAGATCAGATTTGACATTATTAGAAAATAAACTTAAACTAATGTAAATAATCCTAAGCAACTACTATGTGCGTAACATTACGGAATAATACGTGAGATTATTTTAGTATATTTATCGTTTCTATATAATGGTAAGTAATTTTTTGGTTGGCTTCAAATACCAGAAAAGAAAATATTGCTCTTTTCTCCCTCTCGATTATTAAAATACGTTTTTCGCACTCACAAATTACTGAAATATTTTCTGAAAGATTATTGTGCAAATTTCTCATCCATCATAGGAATTTTATATCACGCTCCACTACGCCTCTGTAATAAAAGACTGTAAGTACTGCTCTAGCTCTAGTTTTTCAACAACAAAAATTATTAGGGAGTACTGTCATTAAAAAGAAAACAACAACAATAGCAAAAACAAATTGAAGCTGTTTATCATATGATTTGATTCTGGTTAAGAGAGCGCATACAAAATCCTCTTCAATTTACTCATACATATGTACGTATGTACATGGATTCAATAGTATCTTGGAAAAATATATCAAGCATAAGCATTTAAAGGGGTTTCATAAGTCGATAGTACCAAAAGATGCGAACAAAGCACAAAATGATAAACCAAATAAGCAGATATACCGCAAACAAAATATGTAGAAATGCTTATATGCATAGGTATCCCTAAATGCAATCAAATCTTGCGGGAAATTGTAGCATTCATGTGAAAACAGTAAAATAAAATAGAAAAACGAATGCGAAGGCAAAATGTCACTGGATTGCTGAAATCATTATAAGTATGAGTAAAGCAAACCGTACATCAGTAGGGGCGGCATAAGGCATCATTGTTGCTGACGACCCTGATTGAGGTGAAATGAAATTGATTTTAATTTCAATAAAATGATTTTCGTTGCATAAACCAAAGGGTCGATTGTAAGGAATGTGAAGGGAAATGTCAACATGAATTACTTACATACATACATATATACCATGTGAATGCATGAATACTTAATGGGCACATTCCAAGTTAGTCAAGTGTATAAAAAAGGTTAAAATGGTTGACGATAAGGTTAGCTTAATAACAAATAAGTGGCCTATGAGTATGCGACTTGAGGGTGCGGTATACATAGAAATTAATTTTGCATTAACAGGATAACAATACTTAATCGCAATAATAATGGTTTAATTTTGATTGCCCACATTTTTGGTATGCATGTCTGAATTCTATTGACTGCCCTTAAATGCTTGGAAAAAAATTTATAACCGCTTAGTTTTCACTATATTCATGCTCTGTAAACTACATATATACCATATATACCACTGAGATCCAAATGTAAAGTGAAAATATTTAAAATTTCCTGCCATCAGGAAGGCTGATACATTTTTTTCTAGGTTGGTAGGACTGTCTATAAACCTTCCAAAGCATCCATCTGTTTGTCAAAAGATTTGTTTAACTCCCAGTTCCACGTGTTTTTGCAAACAACCAAAAGAGAAATTTTCAATTTTTACAATGTTTGATTTTGTTAAGCAAATAACTAGCATCAAATTTTGTTTGCGGAACGAATATTCTTATGCGGACACTTAAAAAATGTTGCGGAAGACCTTTGGATATCAAACTATGGCACAAAAAACGTTTGCAAGTGGTACAACGAGTTCAAAGCGAGCCAAGAACGCTTCAAAGGCCGACAAGGGCCTTGTCCCAAAAATCAAAGATTTGGTGTTTGGAAATCGTCGATTCACTACAAGAGACCTTTCTGTTAGTGTTGGATTATGATTTTGAAGAATGTTTTGTGTGTCAAATGCGTCACGTCTTGATTTGGTGCCGAAATCACGTTAATGCTTCACAGCAGACAGCATATTCTGAATGGATCTGATTTCTTTAGAACTGACAGTCTTGAGATCAATTTCTTCCTTGCTTAAAAGAGCTTACCGCTCTTAATTCATCATCCATTTGGAAATTGGAATATGATATGTTGTCAGTTTTACGAACTACTTAGTCGTACATTACTTCGGTGCTTAGAAACCAAAAATGCTGGTGCTCCTTGTGCAACCCCCCTTTTTATATCATTAAATTTGTGTGGCCACTTCACTTACCAAATCGGCAATAAGCATAACCAAGGTAGCGAAATCACCAATTGTAGATTGTGCCAGTCGCGTACAAAATATGCTATGACAGCCATGAGAATATACGAAATCGGAACTGGTAAAATATTTAAGATGCCCGTTATGGTGCGCCATTTGCCAGAAACCAACTCAACGACGAGAACGAAACTAACTACAGTCACAGTCATGGAGGCGAAACCGGCAAGCATACGCACCGACATGAACATAGCCAAATTGGCGGAGTAAGCTACTAAGGTGCCTGTAGCGAAAAACAACATTATTATTTTAAAATCCGTCTATGAAAATTCCATAAGCTTTACTTACCAGACACAATTTGTACCAAAACGAAACCCATCAGCGTATGCTTGCGACCAAAACGATCGGAGATCCAGCCGCTCGAAACACTGCCGACCGCTGCGCCGGCCAAGAAACACATTTCTACCACACTCACCAACTGCTCACGAGTGCAAACCAAGCCGAACTCTTCAATTACCGAGCGTGCGCTACCATCTTCACGGGAGAATTCAAAATTGGTACATGGTATAAGTTGTGCGGAGTCAGCGGTGCCAGCGGATTCAGGTAACAGCGAATAATTCAAATTTAGTATAGAACAAGCGCCAGCAGGTTGGCTTAGATTTCTCCACAGCGACACATCCATATCGGGTGCGGTGTCAGGGCGTGCACACCAGTAGTCCTTGGCGATGGTCTAGTTGGGTGATATAATATAATATATTTATATAAGTAGTAATTTTAGTTGAACATATATATAAATAAATAATTGTTAAACATATTAATATAAACACCATGATATAGGTGTTGCTACAGCCTCAATTTAAAATTATTGTATTTTCATAGTCGTCAATTTGATTTATGGCTTTTCACGGACTATTGTTGCGGACAGAATTTCTGGTACAAATAATAGTCAATTATACATAATTACGAGGTTAGTTTTAGATGTCAAGTTGCCTATGAAGAGTAGGTGCTGCAACCTGAAATGTTTTTGTTTTACATGGTTAACAAACTTTTCTAAAATTAATCAATAAACCTGACAGAAAATCTGTGAAACAATTTTTTCAAATGTATGTATGTATATATTAGGTTGTGGCTCTTTCCCAATCGGAACTTTTTGTGAATCACAATAGAGACCTTTGTGGTGTCAAACAATTCCACAAGATGCGAAATAAACTACCAAGATAATATACCGACGAAGCGTATTAAGTCCATCCTAAATATTTCTCCACAGTGAAGTCGTTATAAGAGAAATAAATAAATTTTTCTTTTTTACAAGAAATACTAACAACTCACTGTATTCAATACCTTTGTATAACTTTAAAATTGTTCGATTCAGACATTCCGTTCAAAAAATATCGCGACTTTAAAAATGTAAGTGTAAAAACAAGTAAGGAAGGGCTAAGTTCGGATGTAACCGAACATTTTATACTCTCGCAAAGTCAAATAGTATACTCGTTTGAGATTTCTTTGTGGATTGGCTGATATTTTCGGTAGAAGGTCAACTATAGGCACTGGGGTCCACATATTTAGTACTTAGGGGTTTGAACAGTTTTGGTTCGATTTAGACAATTTTTGGCTGCAAGGTGGCATACTTTAATTGCATTATTCACGCAAAGTTTTACCCCGATATAATCATTGTTACCTGATTTGCATAGTGGAAAGTGAAAGAATCAGATAGAATTGAAAATGGTGTTACATGGGAAGTAAGCGTGGTTGTAGTCCGATTTTGCCCATTTTCGCACTATGACATAAAAACATGAAAAGAACGTTATGCACCGAATTTGGTTGAAATCGGTTGAGCAGATCTCAAGATATGGGTTTTCACCTAAAAGTGTGCTGTGCCACGCCCACTGACTAATTTTGAACGCGGTTCCTATAAAGCCAATTTATACCATCTCAGAGATAAAATTTAATGTCTCTGGCGTGTTTAGTGCTTGATTTATCGCGCTTTTAGTCGTTTTTAACAGTACCGTTCTATGGGAAGTGGGTGGAGTTGCCACCCGATTTCAACTATTTTCACACCGTCAATAGAAGTGCTAAAAAAATTTGCTTCTAGTGAATTTTGTTATTATAGCATTAGCGGTTTAGGAGATATGCACATTAAACCTATTAGAGGCGGGACCACGCCCACTTTAAAAAAAAGGTTTAACTGCAGATGCCCCTCCCTTAAGTTATCCTGTGTACCAAATAAGAGTCTTGTATCTTGTTGTGGAACTTATTTATGGTAATTTATTTGTTTTTGAATAATGGCGTTTTGTGGGCGTGGCAGTGGTCCGATTACGCCCATCTGCAATACCAACCGTCTCACGGTACCAAGAAATATGTCCACCAAGTTTCATAAAGATATCTCAATGTTTACTCAAGTTAGAGCTTGCACGGACGGACGGACGGACAGACAGTCACCCGGATTTCAACTCGTCTCTTCATCCTGATCATTTATATATATATAACCCTATATCTAACTCGATTAGTTTTAGGTGATACAAACAACCGTTAGGTGAACAAAACTATTATACTCTGTAGCAACAGGTTGCGAGAGTATAAAAAGCACATGGTGAACGGCGACTCGTTCGGCTAGGCTGCAACATAATATGCGATATACTTGTAGGATGTCCATACGAAGCGGACGTGTGCGGAATGGAATATAAATAATATCAAAAGTTTGATATTCATATCTCTTAGTCTATATGAGATTTTCTTCCCCCAAGTGGGGTGGTAAATGAAGTGATCTGCTAGTCTTCATATAAATAACTTTTCTTTAGAATATACCATATAAACTTAATGGATCTACCCGGTCACCCTCGTACAAAGATACATACAATTATATCACAACTTGTTATAAATTTTAGCATTCTACAAATACAAATCGACCAGCTGGATGGAAATTTCAGTAGCATTAAGTTGGCGTACTCTAAAAAAATTCATTCACATGTCAAACTCTAGCTTAGATGCACGCTGAACTGCCAACGTTAGTTAAAGTATGACAAACATTTCAAGTGCACATAGACAGTCAACTAAATTCGTTGATAAATTTATGCATGGTATTACTAATATATATAATAATGAATATAATTAAAGCTGTTTGAGATAAAATTAAAACAAAAACACATGTGTACTCACAAATGGCAAGAACGTGACCCGTTGAGCACAATAGGTATTTACAATTAGTTTAGTATAGATAAACAAAGCAAATAATTAACAAAAACTAGCACCAATTTTCCTAGCTGACATTGACATTTCGCACTGTAGTGCATATAGCGGACATAGCGCTAACATCGATTTAACAGCGCTGTAGAAGTGGCTCGCACTTGTACCAAACGGTTTTATCTGATTTCGGTGTTCGTGTAAACAAAAGAGTTTGTGTTGAAGCGAGAAGTTCAGAGTGCAAAGCAATATTCTACCCTGATATGAGAAATGTAGTTTTGCTAGAAGAATTCGTTCTCAAGGAAAACTGGTGATAATCATTCGAGATATTAGAATAATGAAGTGTAGCAAACTGATGAAGTGAGAATATAATTCTCACTGGACAACTAGTTGGATCTGTGAGTATTACTTAATATTTTTGAATACAATAATTTATTGTATATACATCATTAAAATTCACTAGATTTTATAAATTAATTTGTGAAAATTATTTTTTTTCCGCCAAACAAATAACGTAAAAAGTATCGAAACTCTGAGTCAGGCATAACCTATATAACAGAGATTGGGATTATGTCATTTCTTTATAAGTAAATTGATTAGATATAATATTAAAATATATATTAATAATTATTGAGCTTATTAGAATCTAGAAAAGGTATTTGTTGGTTTCTGATAACTGGAGTGCGATATATGAAAAGCTGTTTCTATTAAAATTTTGTATATGTAACAAAGAGTTCTCCAATAAATCTCGCTACATATCAATATTGCATTAACAATTTGCTTAGGTTAACTATCCCAACAGTTACAATTCTTATTAAAAATATCTACAATAAAAATGCTTCTTAAATCTGTTTAGTCTGATGCCCAAATTATAATAATTTGTTTACCTTAATAATTATATTGAATAAGAGTTTTAATTAAAGTGGCAAGTTTGACCGAAAAATAATTTCTTTCTATACCTATTTAGTTTGCTGCTGATAATGTAATAATTTCTTGATCTTAACACATTAATTGTTTATCACAACAAACAAATTGAATGACCTTTTTTTTTATTCATGTGGCAATCCTTCTTAAAAATATTTTAAACTATAATATTTTCTAATATATATAAATAGGATTTGTGGTTTTGCCGAAAATCGAGATAAGCCGTTTTTAACCCCTAAGAATAAAATTTTTTCTTTAATTTTCAATACTTTATCCTTTTATCCTTTCCAGTGGGTTTCATCTTACTATACATTTTTTTCTAACTTTTTACCATTTTCAAAGGCTTTTGCACTGGTCTATAACCGTTTGGTTTGAAAATGAACTGTTCTGAAATATAATTTTTTTTTTTTAATTTATTAAGACTTTTAGGATTGCTATCAATAATCAAGTTGTTTCAAAAATGTTTGCACCGATTGAAAATTAATGTTGTTTATGTAAATATTTCCATTGCTCTGCTTATACAATTACAGTTAACCTCATTAAGGCGACTACAATTAAACTTACCCGAAGGTGCATGCTATTCAACTTCAATTGGAGTGTGTAACTGAACTAGATATTAAATTCATATTTATATATTTGAAGTAATTGTATCCACACACGCATATCTGTCCCAACTGACTGGAAGTGGCAAAATACCAGTTCAAAGTCAAATCGAAAAGCCAAGCGCGGTAAGTAACGCAATCAAATACAAAGTGAGCGAAAACAAGCTTAAAAGCAATATAAAATAGCAATTAACCGCTTTACAGCCATGACTATTACAAACGGCCATACAAGCTGTGAGCTTACAACGTCACTGGGTCTGACAGACAACTTTTACTTGCTTTTTCAAAAACAACTATTACAAAAACTCACTTTCATTTGGAGCAGCCGTAATGAGTTTGCCGTTAACACTAACTTGAACTTGAAATGCTTCCGAAAAAACAACACGTAAGCATTTAATAAACTACAACAACAAGAAAAAGGAAAATAGTCAATAAAAAGCAATACTTACGGTATTACTTCATCACAATGAATGATCAACTGCAACTTGACACTAGCGCCGGTTACTCATACGCACCACCTGACTTGCCTTACATACACACACACATACATATCTGTATTAATACATATATGCAGTTGTAAAACGCTCAGTCGTTTGTCGAAAAAAAATTTAGTATTTAAAATAAAATAGTTTACACAAACACACGTCTTTAATTGCGGTTAATAACCTGCTGACAACTTAATTACAGCAACAACACCAAGTAATATCTCAACTACATAAATTTACAGCGCTTGGCGTTCAGCTATTTGTATTTGTCAGATATAAATCAAAATGTGTAACAGCAACAACAAAACAGCGACAGTTGTCACAAAACTTGGCGGCAATATGCTCGGTGAAGAAGATTTCGTGAGACGTGGAATCAGAAATTATGATAACATTGGACTCTGATAACGTCATGAACTAGCACAATTTTTAGATTAAGAAGAAAACCCGTTAACTTCGGGTTTTAATGTTGAATTTGTTCGGTCAGTTAGAAAGACAGCTATAAGCTATATATATATATAGCGTTATCTTGGACAATAATC